TAATTAATATAAAATTTTATATACATGTTTGTATACATTCTACACATGCTCTGAAAATTTTAATGGGGTAGCTGCACCGGTTCGGGTGGCTGTCATACAGCAAAATAATAAAGTCAGATAATAAAGTCTGAAAAATAATAAAGTCAGATTCATGAAACTCGGCAGTTGTATTTCCAATTGTAGATCAGATATATTTGTGAAGTTTTAATGGAATTGCTTGACAGTTGCCATACAACTCCAAAAGCTAATTTTAAATATTTGGAAAAATTATAAAGTCAGATTCATGAAACTTGGCAGTCGGGTGTCCAATTATAGGTCAGACATATCCGTGAAGTTTCTATAGACTGGTTTCACAGGTTTGAGTAATTGCTATACAATCGGTTTATACTGACAGAAACGTTTTTACTTGTTATTATTAATTTTATTATTTTAACGGCGGATTGGGCCATGAAATATCCGCAGTAGGGTATGCTTGTGGTAAAAGTCCACTAAAATTCAGCAGAAATCCAGACGCGACGGACTCACGATGAACGGTGCTCTGTTTTATGACTGATCCCTGAAAGACGGCAGAAATTAAATCTGCTGCATTGCACGAGGAAATTATTTTCAAAGACTAGGAGAAGAAAGCTCTGAAATAAAACAAAATACATGCAATGAACAAAACACAAGGATTGTATACTCTATGTTCTTTGGAGGTTGGTCTCATGGATTCTGGGAGAGACCACTTATTGCATAGTAGATCGGCTACCCATTTGGAAAGAGATCGGGGGTCATGGGATCACCCCCATTGGTGATTGCCGGTAAATGAGTTAAGAATGATAACTCTGACGAAAAGTCCAATAAGTTTGCAAAAGATAAAAAAATTAAAACCCAAGAGGTTAATATGAAATAGCATCTTATACAGGAGAGTAAATTGGATACTCATGACTCGAAAATATTCGAGTTAGAAGGTCTTTGTAAATTAAATTGCAAATTACAAGCGGAGACTATAAATTTAAAAAATAATATAAAATCTGCTTAAACAGAAAAGAAAAACAAAAACGGAAGTTATTGTATATGAAACTAATGGGGAAGAGCTGCTTACAGAAACTGGCTGGACCATAAATTAGAATTACGCAAAGAAGCGAAAAATGGAAAAACCTCTTGAAATAAATTCAGAGAAGACAGATAAAAAAAATAATGAAACTACCCCTAAAATGAAGGCTGAAAATCCAAAGAAGCACAAGCCTCCTATGGTTACATTGAGCAACGTTGAAAACTACTCCCACATAGTTAAAATGTTAAAAGAAGAAAAAATAAACGATTGGGTCGACATGATGAATAATGATCAATTATAAATAAATATGGAGAATGAAAATGATTACAGATTGTTAACAAAAGCTATAAATAAGGCCAGATTGGAGTGGCACACACATGAGAATAAACTGACAAGGCCAGTTCAAGTTATGCTAGAAACCTCCATCCATCGTGTGGGTTCAAGGGTATAAAAAATGAGCTCCTTAGCAAAGGTTTAGATACTGTAAATAAAATTATAATAAATAAAGTTGGGTCAAACCAATGGTTTGTATTGTAGCACTTTTCCCTTTAACAGGTGAAAATACTGCTTTTAAAAACAGTCTATGTATATCCACCACACTATTAAAATTATTTTCATTTATAAACGAAACTATTTCTAGGATTGCATATATTTAGGATGAACCATTTATGCAGTCTTTGAAATAAAGCAAAATTTAATATAAACAGGGGTTAACATAATCCTCGATTTTAAGGGTTAATTGTTTGAGTTAAGAAAAATAATTATATTTTTTAATGTCATAGAATTTACCGTTAACTTTTTGCGTTTATAGAAATTTGAAAAAACTTGCGGTTTCAGAAATATAAGGCGTCAAAAATGCAAATTTTACAAATTTCAAGAGGCCATAACTTGAGAGGGGGTGGAGATGGAAAAAAATTTTCTTCTAACGAAATGAACTACTTGTTAATGTCTAAAAGCCCCTAAAATTTCAGGCTTCTACAGGCTGGGGTCTAGAAGAAAAACGACATCAAAAATTTGGAAAAAAAGGACTTTAGATAACGGTAAATTTGAACGGCCATTTTGTTTTTCTAAAGTTTAACTATAATATACCGCGATAGGGGAAGCAAGCCACTGCCTTACTGCGTTTGCAAAATTTCAAAAATGCTTGTGGTTTCATTGCAACAAATAGTTAAAATAGGCCATTTTTAGTGCTTTGGGGGGGTATAACTTCTAGAGGGGGGGAGATAAATAAAAATTTTGTTCTACGAAAATAAGTTTCTAGTAAAGATCTATGTACGTATTAAATTTCAGCTTTCTATCTTTAAGAATGTAGAAGTTTTGTAAACAGACACACGGACAGACGGACGGACGGACGGACGGACGGACGGACGGACGGACGGACGGACAGACGGACGGACGGACGGACGGACGGACGGACGGACGGACGGACGGACGGACGGACGGACGGACGGACAGAGTGAAACTAATAAGCACTTTTTTTCAAAAAATTTTTGGAAAAGTGCTAAAAAAGAAAATGGATAATATATTTCAATAAAACTTCCGCTCTTTATGTTTTCTTTTGACCATTCGGTCAAAATCATTTATTTTGTCCATTCCGCAATGCAAAAGGTGCCACGAGAGGAAGTAGTGCAATACTAACAAAAGAAAGTGTAGAATATAATGAAGAATTCAAGATAGAAGCAGTTGGAATTCAGTTTATTGTGATAAAAATTAAGTCTACTAAACGGGAATTTAGTGTTGATGCTATATACTGTCCACCAAATTGCGGCATTAAGAAAAATACTTTTAAGGATCTCCTGTACAAACATGAACATAGATATCTAATAGGAGATGACTATATTGCCAAACATGCAGATTGGGGTTCTGAAATCATCTCAACTAGTGGAAGGGAACTGAGAAAAGCTGTTCAAGAACTAGGTTGTTGCTGTAACTCCTATCTATAGTCTATCGCAAATGAAGCTAGCTTAAAGCAAGAAATTGCGGAAGAGGTAATTTCCCTAAAGTTGAAAAAATCGCCAGGTTTTGATCTTATTACTGTGGAAGTACTGCGAAATCTACCAGACGAAGCATTGAAACATTTGATGAAAATCATGAACGCAGCTATAAATTTTGAGTATGTTCCTTTTGCCTGAAAAGTCGCAGAAATAATTATGGTGTACAAACCCGGAAATAATTGAGGAAAACAAGGTATTACAGGCCCATTTCACTGTCTAAGCTTTTTGAAAAACTGCTATTAATCAGATTAAAGCAATAACAGAATATAGAGGCCTCGTACAAAACCATCAGTTTGAATTTAGAAGAAACCACTGCACAACAGACCCGGTTCAGAGTATAACGAATATTATAGAAAAAAGCTTGGAAAATAAAAAAATCTCCTCTTCTATATTTCTAGAAGTAGCACAGGCATTCCACGAACGAGCGAACGTAGCAACTTATTACTCAGAAAAATACGTAGGAATGACTTTAGAATGTCAAACTAAGGTGGAAAGAGCATATATAGAAGAAACACAATGAGTTAGAAAATAAATATGGAGAAAATTATTGGCTCCTAGCTCGTAAGTTCATTTGGCAATTGATAACAAGATATTAATTTATAGCCAAATTATTAAACCAATATGGTTATATGGCATTCAACTATGGGGTTGTGCCAAGAAGACTCACATTAACAAAATTCAAATCTTCCAGAAAAAAGTTCTACGGGGCATGGTAAATGCGCAATGGTATATATGTAACTCTGATATCCACAGGGACTTAGGAATTCCTTTGGTTGTGGATGAAATTAGGAGTTGTGCTACAAAGTATAGGGCTCGTCTAGGACAACATGTAAATATGGAAGCAGTTCGGCTGCTAGACAAAGCCGTTATGACAAAAAGACTTAAATGAACAAAACCTTTTGATTTAACGCGAAATACCAATTTCCTTATGGAAGGTATTTAATTCCTGTAAGAAAAAACCAAGTTAGCGCGGAGGTAATAGTTGGCCTGTAGGACCAGTTTTATACGTTCAGAGTTTAAGTGAAAAAGGCAGATAGAGCTGACCTTTTTAGTCTTTCGAAATTTTTTCACCTAGTAGAACAAAAAAAAAAAAAATTATTATTATTATTATGTTGTAGATGATTCACAGGCATTTGTTTAGCATTGTTTGTAGTTTCTCCATGTCGTTTTTTCGTACGAGCCAGGTTTCACTCTCATATAGCAGGACCGATTTGACGCAGCTATTGAATATTCTCAACTTTGTTGATCTGGCCAAGTGGGATGACTTCCAGATCTTCCAGCGTCGCTCAAATGCCATTCTTGCCATTTTAATTCTATTCTTGATGTCTTCATCCGCCCCACCACTTGTGCTAATGACACTACCCAGGCAGTTGAAGTGAGTGACATCTTCTATTGAGCTTGTGTTGACTACAAAGCTGCCCTGATTAGCTGCCCTGATTAGCTGCATTGATTCGGAGTGACTTTGTTTTTGCCTGGTTGATCTTTAGACCTACGTTTCCGGCTTGTTCACCGAGTTTTGACAGCTTCGAACTCATGTCTGCGAAAGTATGAGACAGTAGGGCTATGTCATCTGCGTAATCAAGGTCCTCTAGGCGATGAATAAGAGACCATTGTACACCTCTTATAGGCGCTAATGTTTTCCTCATTACTTCATCTAATACGACATTGAATGGGCAACCCTGTTTGACACCTCTTTCTATTCTTACTGGGTCGCTAAGTACTCCATTGTGTAGTACTCTGGTGTCTGTATTGCTGTACATTTCCTTTATCAGTTTGATTAATTTGTCAGGAATCCCCTTATTTGCGAGTGCTTTCCATATAGCTTCTCTGTCCAGCATATCGAATGCCCTTTCGAAGTCGACGAATACAATGTATAATGGAGAGTTGAATTCTGCCGATTGTTCTACAATCAATCGCAGGGTGTTTGATTGATCTATACACCCTCGTTTCCTTCTGAATCCGCTTTGCTCCTATCGCAAACTTTCTTCAATTTTTGAGCTTATTCTTCCCAGAATTATGTTTGCTAGGACTTTATTCAATACATTGAGAATCGTGATACCTCTCCAATTACTGCACTCTCTAAGGACCCCTTTTTTTGGAAGCTTTACAATAATACCTTGTTTCCAAGTATCGGGCATTCTCTCACTATTCCATACGGAATAGTGAGAGAATTCCATACGGATTGGAAGCAGAATATCTGATGTTGTGTTAGGATCTGCTTGAAGTAGCTCTGCAGGAATGCCATCGGGACCTTCAGCTCTGTTTTTCTTCATTTTTGCTATTGCTTCCATGATTTCTCTTTTTGGTGGAGGGTTCTGGTTGATTCTGAGAGGTGGTGGTCTTATCACCGATTCATTATTTGGTTGCGCTTGGTTAATAGGGCAGGGCATATATTCGAAGTGTTCCTTCCATCTTTGCATTTGTCCTTGGGCAGAAGTCAGAAGTTGACCATTACTGTCTTTTATTGGCTGGCTGGGTCTTGTTCTATGCTTGGCTAGAGTTCGGATCTTGTTGTATAGGAGGCGCATATTATTTTGTTCGGCTGCTGACTGTGCTTCTGTTGCTATCGAATTATAATATCTTCTCTTATCTCTTCTGGCGAATCTCTTGACCTCTCTCGCAACTTCTCTATACTCTGCTTTTAGGTCATCTGTTTGCTGTGTGAGCATTTTTGTTCGTAATTTTCTTCTATGTTCTATTTTCGACCAAGTATCGTCTGAGAGCCATATTTTTCTTGTGTTTTCACTTGTTCCCAGTGTTTCGTCCGATATTTGTCTATACATTTCTTGTATATTGCTTATGTTTGTACTTTCGCTTATTTGTTGTATTCTTGATACGAATTCCTGCTTCGTACCCTCTATTTTTAATTTGTAAGTTGGTAGTTTACGCTTTCTTCTTTGTAGTGTGTTTCTTATCTTACTTGGTGTCTTATGTCGCCAGTAAGAAGATTGTGGTCACTGTCAATATCTGAGCCCCTCCAGGCTCTGACGTCTAATAATGATTGTTTCCACTTTCTCCTGATGCATATATGGTCTATCTGGTTCTTGGTTCTTCCATCGGGCGATTCCCATGTGTATTTGTGGATGTTCTTATGGGGGAAGAGAGTTCCACCGATAGCCATGTTGTATTCTAGGCACAGGTTTACCAGACGCTCCCCATTGTTGTTAATAGTGTCCATACCATGTGATCCCATTATGTTTTTCGGGATTGAATCTTGCTGAGCACCGACTTTGGCATTGAGGTCCCCCAGTAATATTACAATGTCAGTCTTGGGGATACTATTGATAGCCGTGCTGAGATGGTTGTAGAATGTATCTTTGGCTTCATCATCAGCAATGTCAGTTGGGCCATAACATTGAATTATTGATATCTTTTTCATTCTGGTGTAGAATCTGGCCAATATTATTCTATCTGATATTGCCTTCCAGCTCATCAAGCTATTTATTATTGTCTTGTCCATCAATATTCCTACATCATAGTTACTGCCGCCTTCATTACCAGAGTATACCATTTTGTTTCCACTGGACGTCGTAATTTTACCTGCACCAGCCCACCTGATTTCACTTAGCTAGAGGATTCTGACGTGATATCTGCACATTTCTTTTTCCACTTGCGCTAATCTCGAGGCTTCTTTTAGTGTACGAACGTTCCAATGTCCTATTCTAGTCCTTATGCTTGTTCCAATGGTCGTTACCGTATGATCAGTCGATATCCGAGGCACTGTTTCAGTTTCTTGAATCATTTGAATTTCACTGGGTAGATGATTAGTCTACTGCAGCTATCCGCACGATGGTCACACTTATTTTTTCTCCTGCAATCTATCGTCTTTGCGGCGAGAAGTGTCATCAGTAGTTTTGCGAGCTGTCAGTCAGTCATATGGTCAGTCATATGGTATATTTTTTGCTTATTATTTTTTAAGGTTATATTATTATATTGGATATTATTAGCACGATCATATTGGATACTGAGGTTATTAAGGTACATATTTTATATTAATTTTATACTAATATTGGATATTTTCTATATTTTTAGTATTGGGTATTAATTTATATATTACTGGTTATTGTTTTGTGACCTGTCCAGGGTTTGAACTCGGAACCCTTACGTTAAAGGGTCGGTGCCTTAACCACTGCACCATCGGACAGATATAATTATTATTATAATTATTATTATTATTATCATTATTATTGTTATTATTATTATTATTATTATTATTATTATTATTATTATTATTATTATTATTATTATTATTATAATTATTATAATAATAATTATTATTGTTATTATTCTTATTATAATTATTATTATTAAAATAATAATTATCATTATTATTCTTCTTGTTCTTCTTCTTCTTATTATTGTTATTATTATTATTATTATTATTATCATTATTGTTATTATTATTACTGTTATAAATATTATTATAATAATAATAATTATTATTATTATTATTATAATTATTATTATTATTATAATAATTATTATTATTATAATTCTTATTATAGTTATTATTATTATTATTATTATCATTATTTTTATTATTATTATTATTATTATTATTATTATTATTATTATTATTATTATTATTATTATTATTATTATTATTATTATTAATATTATTATAATTATTACTATTCTCATTACTATTATCATTATTATTATTATTATAGTATTCTCATTATTATTATTATTATCATTATTATTACTATCCTCATTACAGTTATTATTATTATAATTATTATTATTATTATTCTTATTATCATTATTATTATTATTATTATTATTATTATTATTATTACTATTATTATTACTGTTATCATTATTATTATTATTATTGTTATAATTATTATTATTATTATTTTTATAATTATTATTATTATTATTATTATTATTATGACTTTTGCACTTCTCAGCCATTTGCTGGAAACATTTACCTATCCCCAACGCGATGTTATATTGTTGGGGATTAGGCTCGGTCGGCCATCTTTGACATAAACTTCATCTCTTTCGTATTTATCATGTTAGTTTTCCTCCTTTTATTCAATATTTAAAAACTCACGGACGATTCTGCAGCTGTCTAAAATTACTGCCTTTTGCATTCTTTCAATAACTGACCGGTTTAATTTAAGTTTTATGACCCCCTCTACTGTTTTCTTCGGAATTAGACCTGTTGTTGAAAGGATGATTTGTATGATTTTAACGTCGTCAACTCTCCATGCGTCTTTGATTTCATTTCCTAGTGGTATGTATTTCTGAATTTTTTCGGTGTTTGTGGTACTCAGGTTGTTATTGTTGACCACTGCTATATCTATAAACATCACCTCTTTGTTAACCTTGTTGTGGATCACTATATCGGGTCGGTTGTGGACGATGGTATTGTCAGTTACGATCGAACGATCCCAGTAGATTTTAAAATTTCTATTTTCGGTAACTGCATGTGGGGAATATTTGTAGTACGGCTCATTTGTAGTTTCGAGGTCCATCATTTTCATTAACTCTATATACAGGACCTTCGCCACGTTATCATGCCTTAGTTTGTACGCTGTTTGAGCAATAACACTGCAGCCTGCTAAGATATGTTGTATTGTTTCTCGTGTGTTTGAGCATTTTCTGCATTTATCATCTGTTATTGATGTATCTCTAACAACGTATTTAAGATAATTTCTGGTGGCAATGACTTGGTCTTGAATCGCTATCATAAAACCCTCAGTTTCTGCAAATAATTTTCCTCTTGTTAGCCATTTGTTTGAGAGATCTTGGTCAATATTTTGTGTTCTTAGTTCATTTGGGTGTCTACCATGTATTTCTTTTGCTTGCCATCTACTAATCAAGTTTTGTATACCATTTGGTGTTTCATCATTTCTGCTCTGATTTAGATTGAGAATGGTGTAATTGTTGTCGGCACTGACTACTACCCTATGTAGGTTTGATACGATGGATTTATCTAGGAAGTACTTTGTTATTTGTTGTCTTTGTTTTTCTTCCATACTTTTAATATTTATGATTCCACGACCTCCTTTAATCCTTGGGATGTTAACTCTCTCTACCGCAGCTTTAGGATGGTGGTATCTATATCGGGTAAGTTCTGTACGAACCAATCTGTCTAAACCCTCCAAATCAGTTGCATTCCATTTAATTACACCCGCAGAGTATGTGATTAATGTGATAGCGTAGGTGTTAATAGCTTTGCACAAGTTTTTAGAGTTTAGCGATGTTTTCATAATGCTAGTAAGTCGTGCACGGAAGGAGTTTCGTAAACTTCGCTTAATTTCGACATGATTAGTTTGTTTGGTCTGCTGCATACCCAGGTATTTGTAGACGTCATTTTCATCCATTGCTTTTATGATATCTTGGCTTGATGTTTGGTACTCAATCTCTTTAACCAGTTTACCTTGGCGGATTGTGAAGGTTTTGCATTTATCGACGCCAAATTCCATGTTGATGGCCTTGGAAAAATTTTCGGTAATTCTGAGTTGCTGTTCCAGTTTTTTTGATGAGCTTGAGTATAGCTTCAGATCATCCATGAAGAGCAAATGTGTGAGTCTTATATTTGGTGTTAAACCCTTTATCTCGAAGCCATATGCTGTGTTGCTGAGCACTGTAGAGAGTGGATTAAGGGCCAAGCAGAAAAGCAGAGGACTAAAACTCCTTGGAAAATACCCCGTTTAATAGGTATTCTTTCCGATGTTCTTTCACTGCCAGGGAGTTTTACAACTGTGGACCATTTTGACATTATGTGACTAACGAACCTGATGATATTTTCGCTGATTTTATATATTTTCATGATTTCGATTAGCCAGCTATGCGGTACCATGTCGAATGCTTTTCTGTAGTCGATATACGCCCCATAGATATTGCGTTTTTTGTCAATTGCCTGTTTCATGACCACCGCATCTATTGTAAGCTGTTCCTTGCATCCCAGTGAACCCTTGCGGCATCCTTTTTGTTCTTCAGCGATTATATTGTTTTTTGAACAGTGTTCCTCAACCATTTGGGTGATACACGTTGTTGTTAATTTATAGAACGTATTTAAGCACGTAATTGGTCTGAAACTCAACGGATCGCTGTTTGTTACATTTTTTGGCTTCATGAATGTGAGGCCTGTACAAAGAGTTTCCGGTGTTGAACCTGGGTCGTTAATAAACTGGTTTATATAGCTCAACATTAACGGATGCAGTGATGTTAATTTTTTTAGCCAGAAGTTTTGGATTTTAACGTTACCTGGACATTTCCAATTTTGGAGCTTATTGACGCTGTTTTTAAATATTTCGTTGCTGATACTAGTTGTTGGCATTTTTTGTGTTCTTTCAGCCCTTTGTTTGATAATGCTTATTTTTGGAGCATTTTCATTGTGCTGCGTATCAATTTACCATATACCAGAGCAGTACTGCTGCATTTGCTCGATTGTAGGCACTTGCGTATGATCACATTCGACCTTTTTTAGGGAAGCGTAGAATTTCTTTTGGCTTCGTTCGAAGGATTTATTGTCATTATTACGTTTACTGCTTTTCCGATATCGCCTCAATCTTTTCGCATACATAGATAGCTTTTGTTTAACTGTATCTAGCACTTCTATAGGAGTATTATTTTGTGGATCTCTTTGTGTGTGGAACTTATATTTTCGCAGAAGTCTTTTTACTTTTTTGTGTTGTTTCCGGTTTGTAATTTTATGATTTATATATGCTGTTAATAGTCCAGCTTCAGCTCTCAATGTTTCGATGTTATTTGTTAATCTACGTTGGCTTATTGGCATTTTCTGTACTAGAGGTTGTTGCTGTTGGTCTGACTGACGGCGTGTCTCATAGACGAGTTTCCTTCCGTTTAGTAGCGTGATTGCAGCTGCGCAGCTATAGACATAGGTATTTAACTGTTCATAGCTTGTAATTTCTGGTGCAATCTTTGGGATTACCTTTGAGTTTGTTAAATCTACCAACTTGAGTAGATTCTGGGTTATTTTTTGAGTTGGTATCCTTGGTCCACTAGTGTATTCAAGAGAAGTAAACATAATTATTGAATTCAGGACCTCAGTTTCTATTTGCTCGCTGAGATTCGCATTCTCTTCGGTGGGGGCGCTGGGCACACCTTCATCAGCTCCACGTTGGTTATCTGCCCGATTATTGAGACTGTTGAAGCTATCTCCTCTCCTTGGCGCGACTCTATTTGCAGCTTCTTGAGAACCTGGATCTGGGTAAGCTACAACATCTTGCATATTGGTGTTCCTTTCATTAGCGATGATATCTTGTTGAACTTCAGCATATATGCGGTTCCTGGTGGCCTCTGGTACTAGGTTATTCCTTATTATTGCAGCTCTACGGTCAGCCAGGTTTTGTTCATTAATGTGTGTGAGCTCCGGGTATTTACGCATAAATTCCTCTCTTAACCTCTGCCTGTATGATGTTAAGTCACTTTCACAGCGGGTAATTTGATAATATGTTTTGAGAATGAATTCGTTCATAGAATTCCTCCACATAATTCTCCGCCTTGGCAGGCCTGCTCTTGTGGTCAGTGGCCGCACTTGCGCCGCTGAAACACCCCGAGCAGGCATGATGTTATATTGGTTTTGTCATTTTGGTTGTTGTTGCTAATTGCTCGTTCTTGTGTCACTGGCGACTCCTCTTCTCGCGAAGCCGAGCCCGAGCCGGTAGCCGTGACTTCTACCGACCTTTGAGTGCATATCCTCACTCTCATTTCTTCATTTTCATTACTTGAGTCCATATTGTTTTTATGCTTCACCAAACTTTCGTATGGGTTGGGGTAATTAGTTGCCGAAGCCGCCCCGCCACGTCAAGGCTTATCCCCGGGGGGTTATTATTATTATTATTATTATTATTATTATTATTATTATTATTATTATTCTTATTATAATTATTATTATTAAAATAATAATTATCATTATTATTCTTCTTCTTCTTCTTATTATTATTATTATTATTATTATTATTATTATTATTATTATTATTATTATTATTATTATTATTTTTATTATCATTATTGTTATCATTATTGTTATTACTGTTATAATTATTATTTTAATTATAATTATTTTTATTATTATAATTATTATTATTATTATAATAATTATTATTATTATTATTCTTATTATAATTATTATTATTATTATTATTATTATCATTATTTTTATTATTATTATTATTATTATTATTATTATTATCATTATTACTTTTATTATTTTCAGCGCTATTATTATCACCATCATCATCGGTATTATTTTTATTATTATTATTATTATTATTATTATTATTATTATTATTAAAAGTTTAAGTGTAGTTTGGTGTAGGACAAATAAAACAATGTTCTTTAACTTTTCACCAACGTTTCGATTTAATTTTAAATCTTCATCAGGGCTAAAATAATAATTTTATGTGACAATAATGTTTTTATAATATGTTATACATCTCTTATATGTATACTTATATTAAGTTATTGAACAAATTTTAATTTGATTCTAACATAATTAAGTAACTCAATAGCTTTAATCCATGAACTTATATAAGTGAAATGATACACATAGAATTAAACAAAAACAACATAAATTACAAAACAGATACAGATAACTTAAATTCATTTTATAAATCTGTGATTATGAAATTTCAAAAAATTAAAACAAGCGGTAACCCCAATAGAGTAAACAATAGATCAAAACTACAAACAGCTGATTCGTGATATTTTTATTTTTAATATAGTTTAAGTTTTGTAAGAGTCTAGTTTTGTCGCATTTACAATTTGTGTTAATTTATTTTATTTATTTCTTTATTAAAAACAATAAGTGACGATTTTAAAAATTTTAGTAAGTTCATTGATTAAAGCTATTGAGTTACTTAATTATGTTAGAATCAAATTAAAATTTGTTCAATAACTAAATGTAGGTATACATGTAATAATAAAAATAATAATAATAATAATAATAATAATAAAAATAATGATAATGATAATAATAATAATTATAATAAGAATAATAATAATAATAATTATTATAATAATAATAATAATTATAACAATAATAATAATAATTATAATTATAATAATAATAGTGGCCCCGGTAGCCGAGTGGTAAAGCACTCGAGTATCTAGTGAAAGTTACTGAAAAAAGTAACTTCATACAACCACAGCGTCCGCAAATATAACTAAAAAATAATAATAAGAATATTAGTATAACAACAATATAAAAATATACCTTAATATCTTCAATATCCAATATTATAGCCTTAATAATAATAAAGTTGGGTCAAACCAATGGTTTGTATTGTAGCACTTTTCCCTTTAACAGGTGAAAATACTGCTTTTAAAAACAGTCTATGTATATCCACCACACTATTAAAATTATTTTCATTTATAAACGAAACTATTTCTAGGATTGCATATATTTAGGATGAACCATTTATGCAGTCTTTGAAATAAAGCAAAATTTAATATAAACAGGGGTTAACATAATCCTCGATTTTAAGGGTTAATTGTTTGAGTTAAGAAAAATAATTATATTTTTTAATGTCATAGAATTTACCGTTAACTTTTTGCGTTTATAGAAATTTGAAAAAACTTGCGGTTTCAGAAATATAAGGCGTCAAAAATGCAAATTTTACAAATTTCAAGAGGCCATAACTTGAGAGGGGGTGGAGATGGAAAAAAATTTTCTTCTAACGAAATGAACTACTTGTTAATGTCTAAAAGCCCCTAAAATTTCAGGCTTCTGCAGGCTGGGGTCTAGAAGAAAAACGACATCAAAAATTTGGAAAAAAAGGACTTTAGATAACGGTAAATTTGAACGGCCATTTTGTTTTTCTAAAGTTTAACTATAATATACCGCGATAGGGAAAGCAAGCCACTGCCTTTCTGCGTTTGCAAAATTTCAAAATTGTGGTTTCATTGCAACAAATAGTTAAAATAGGCCATTTTTAGTGCTTTGGGGGGGTATAACTTCTAGAGGGGGGGAGATAAATAAAAATTTTGTTCTACGAAAATAAGTTTCTAGTAAAGATCTATGTACGTATTAAATTTCAGCTTTCTATCTTTAAGAATGTAGAAGTTTTGTAAACAGACACACGGACAGACGGACGGACGGACGGACGGACGGACGGACGGACGGACGGACAGACGGACGGACGGACGGACGGACGGAGGGACGGACGGACGGACGGACGGACGGACGGACAGAGTGAAACTAATAAGCACTTTTTTTCAAAAAATTTTTGGAAAAGTGCTAAAAACTACGATAAATATTATACTATAAATTAATAATAAAATATAACAATGACTGACATCGCCAGCTCTAACTGACAATGACAGACATTTTGACACATCGTGTGGTGAATTCTAGTCATAACTCACCACAATGGCAGCACGTAACCTTCATATGACTCGTACCTCCACTAAACGATAGATGGCAGTATACGTAAAAAAGAATGAGCATCGTGTGGATAGCTGCAGTAGACTAATCATCTACCCAGTGAGAAACATTTGATTCTCGAAACTGAAGCAGAGCCTCAGATAATGGATGATAACATGATAACGACTATTGGAACGCGAACACGGATTAGATTTGGACAATGGAATGTACGTACTTTAATGGAACCCTCAAGACTAGCACAACTTGATGATGAAATGCAAAGATATCGCATTAAAATTATGGGCGTGAGTGAAGTAAGATGGCCTGGCTAAGGAGAGATTGATACCAGAAGTGGCAGCTTAATGGTATATGCTGGAACTGTTCGGGGGGGAAGTAATGGAGTCGCGATAATAATAGACAAGTGTATAAGAAAAAGTCTAATCAGTTGGAAGCCAGTATCTGACAGAATAATAACAGCCCGTTTACACTCCAGAATAAGAAAACTCACAATTATACAATGCTACGCCCCCACCGAAACCGCTGATGACGAAGCAAAAGATGAGTTCTACTACCAATTGACCCAGGTCATGAGCAATATTCCCAGAACGGACATTATTATACTATTGGGAGATTTAAATGCCAAAGTTGGAACCAGAGATGAGAATAGTCCTAGAAATGTAGTGGGTCCATTTGGTATAGGCGACAGCAACAACAACGGTGCCCGGCTAATAGAGTTATGCACAGAATATGGCATGGCCATAGGTGGCACCCTCTTCCGTCACAAGAATATACATAGATATACATGGGGATCGCCGAGTGGACGAACAAGAACCAAATCGATCACATTTGTGTTAGCAATAAATGGAGACATTCACTACTTGATGTTAGAAATCGGAGGGGAGCAGATATCCAGAGTGACCATCTTCTATTGACGGGTGATATAAGATTAAAGCCATCTGCAATAAGAAACCACTTCAGTAGTAGAAAGAGAAAATTAAATTCAAAGAGACTAGCAGCTGAAGATACAAAGCGTGAATTTGTACACAAAGTTCAGAATGAGCTAGCAGTAAATAGTAACACAAATATACAAGATCTACTCAGACGATCAGGTGAAGAAATACTTGGAACTGTAGATATAGAACGGAAAGAATGGATATCTGATGAAACATGGACTAAAATATTGCAAAGAAGGAAAATAAGAGAAAAATTGCTGACTCATCAGTCGGAAAACCTGATGCAAGTATATAAAGAAAAAGGAAAAGAGGTCAAGAAATCAGCCAGAAGAGATAAACGTAGATTCCACAGCCAAATAGCGAAAGATGCTGAAACAGCAGCGCAACAAAACAATATGCATGGCCTGTATAAGAATATTCACAAACTCTCGAATAGGAATATAAAGAGAAATCAACCGATTAAAGACAATAATGGAAACTTAATAACATCCACGCAAGATCAGATGCAGAGATGGAGGGAGCACTTTGAGAGCATCAGTAACAATAACAACGGAATCCATATTGACCAACAAATGGAGAGCGAAGATGGCCACAGCCACAGCAGAGTCAATCAGAATCCACCATCATACAATGAAATCAGGTCAGCTATAGACAGACTGAAGAACAATAAGGCTGAAGGTTCCGATGGTGTGGCAGCTGAACTACTAAAAAGTAACAGTAATGTCATGGCCGAGATATTGAAATCTGTTCTGGAACAAGTACGGAGAGATGAAATAATACCACATTCTTGGAAAAAAAGTATAATAATAAAGTTACCTAAGAAAGGAGATGCAACGGACTGCAAGAACTGGCGTGGTATAACTATCCAGAACACAATAAATAAAGTATTGGCCCTCATAATCCTCTCAAGAATAGAAGAAAAAATAGACAAAGATCTTCGTGAAGAGCAAGCTGGCTTCCGTAAGCAGCGTGGATGCGTAGACCAATCTAATACTCTAAGACTAATCGTAAAACAATCGGTTGAGTGGAACTCGACATTATACATCACATTTGTCGACTTCGAAACGGCCTTTGACGCATTGTACAGAGAAGCTATTTGGAAATCATTTCAGAAGAGAAGATTACCTGGCAAAATAATCAGACTGATCAAGGCACTATACAACAACAACGAAA